TTAGAAAATTGTGTTAATTAAAACGAATTAGTTTTAGAGCTTTTTTCCGGTTGATAAATTTTGCAATTAAATAGAAAGTGGTTTGATGATGAAAGTGGAAGAATGTAGATGCTACTTTCCCATTAAATTAACCCAACCCAAAGAACGTTGTTGGTCGAGGTCAAACCCAACCCTTCCATTAACCTATTTTAATACGCAATTTCTCTTTAATCCGACACCTTTTATCTCTTTTTTGCCATCACCCAATGTATTTACTACATTAAAAATAAAATTACAACGTTAGTTGTTGTTTTATTTTTTCCTGGCCAGTAAGGAATTTAACAAAGAGAACATTGATATTAAAAAAGACCTTGAGAGTAAATAATTTATCGCCTGTAATTGGCAACGTTATAATGAATGCCGCCCGTATTTGCGAACCGTGTGTTTATAAAAAACAATTTTGACTTCTGACACGTCGAATGAAATCATCGTTTTATTTTTAGTATATCATGAAAGAAACGTGAAATTTGGGTCTATGTTGAAATCAATTTTGTAAACAGTTGTATTTTCGTTCTATTGAGTTTCACTAATTAACGCCGTTAAAAATTGTGTAATTTGTAAACTTAAGATATTTTATTATGAAATTTTTTTAAGTAATCTAAACAATCTTTTTTAACAGCGAAATTAAAATATGAAATAAACAGTGTTTTTATTTAGATAAAATTGGTTGAATCATAATTATTGAATCTATGCCCCGAAAAGGAGTTGCAAATAAATCAACTTTTTGTTATAGTTAAGTATTCAATACTTAAACTTTATGGTGTGCTTAAATGTGTCATTTCTTAACTGTTATTTATGGTTGAAAACTTTCAGTACCTAAACGGAAAAACATCTGACGATTTCTTACTAATTGTTTTGACACTTCGTATTAGGTAATTAAAACATTGGTTTTGGTCATAACGTTATCTCATGCTGCATGAAAAGTATTTTACAAACTTATATGGTGTGTATTTGTAAATTATAATCCAGGCACAATCTTTGTTGATTAACCCACATCTATTCCTGTAAATACGCCAATACACATTTTATTTCAACAGTATCAACTTCAAATCGGAAAGTTTGTGATTTTGCGTGGTATTTTTGATTACTAAAGGAGCTTACACCGAAATTAGAACGGATTAATTCGATGTTACGGAAAATCGTTTGCTCAAATTTGGACTACAACATAGGGTCTCATATTTCATGCATTTGAAGATATCGGTAATGATCATAATTCTCAAATTTGTTTGATCTTTGTGATGTTGGTGTCGTTTAACGGCGTTTTCGACTCAATGCTGTATAGCAGCTGTTCCCAATCTGTGATATATGCAATTACTCCCGGTGGCAAAGGAAATTGTTACGCCATTTCGTTGGTTTTCATCAAACTATCAGCTTAGATTTTTGTTATAGCACTCAATACAACATCTACGCAGAGTGCTTCACTCTTCCAATAAAATTAACTGTAATCCTTTGCTCCCACAATGATATAAATTTAAATACAGTCTAATAAGTCGTGATATATAGCCTGCTTATACAAGGAGGGAAAGAAGAGGTGGATAGCCACACTATTAGATAAGCTAAGCAGTTAATCTTAGCTTGCTTCCACAGCTTAGTTTTGATCCATCACATAGTCCATCATAATACCGGGTTCACTACTTGGTATTGATTTTCCTCCCTCACAACTTGGTTTACTTCCACAACTTGATTTTGCACCGCAACAAGGTAACCACAGGCAACTGTACTTCTTCAAACTTGAAATTGATTTTCATAGAAAACGAAATTAATTTCAATAAAACCAGTATTAATTAAGTTCTCGATTCGTTCATTTAAGTAATCTTGGTAGTCACAGAACATCATCGACATGAGAATTGAATTGCACCATGTAACATGTTCCACACAAAAAATTCTGTGATCTTCGCAGTTCACTTGAATTACACTAAAATAGTGAAGCCCAGGTATAACGAGGATTTTGAGAAGTCTAGTAATAAAGGATTAGTTTGTTACACAAGCTAAAATAAGCGTCATAAACCATTGTTACTGCTACATAGACTCATGTTGGGCTCCGATCACCTGCATTTTTGTATAGATGGAATTTCAAATTCAAACGATTTCAAACATCATCCTCACAACAATCGTACTTGTTGATAAGGTAGATGCAGTAAGTATTATAGCTGGTTGAAAATCATGGTGTATCTGGTATGTCTGAAATGATGTGTGATGTACGGGATACTATCCAAGTTTTTGTCAAAGCGGACCTGTACCAACATTTAATGCAACATTTTGCACACACATTCAGGTAACTCACGGTCATTTTCTATATAGACTAAATTTTGCATGGACAGAATTCTACGTTTTTCGCATTCTGTTTCCTTAGCAACTAGAATCCATTGCATTATGACGCGATTGAATTTCTCGTCTTCTTCCAGGTATCATTAGTCAGTTTAATGCAAAACCAGATTGTACACTGTCGACAAAAATATTAAAACTCTTAAATCTCTAGAGCCACTGTAAGTGGAATTTTGGCAAGTAATAGCAATCTGGATTGCGGTTGACAGAAAGAAATTATTTTTATACCAACTCTTATCTACTTGCCTGTTTAAGACTTCTGAAGGTATTTGCATAACCAATGGTTTTGACATCTACTTCTTCTTGTACTACAATCACCTCAACGAAACTAATCATTGAGTGAAGAACTTTCAGCGTGGTTGCAAAACAAAAGTCTGCAGCGATTGAAATAGTAATGCATGGATAGATTTGGGTTCCTGATTATTTCCTCCTTCGCCGTGACGATTTTTTGGATCGTTCTCGCTGTTTATTTCATGATTACATTGCGGATTATATCCTACACTGGTGTATGTTCGTGTTGTAGTGCGCATATACAACACTATAAAAACTATACAGTTGATCTGCAATTACGTAGCTTAATTTTTGTTGCCTTCACTGCAACGCTACGCTTTAATTCCAACGTTTCACAACTTTTACGTCCACCATATAACAGTGTTTATGGCTTGAACGTTGCTAAAACCCTCTGTTTTCAACTCTGACAGCTTTCAAAATTACACAGTTATTTCACAACTTGACTGTAATTTCGCTTAAATTGTCCTTCTCACTCCTTTACACTTAATGGTTTAACTACAACGTTTCAAACTGTCAAAGATTCATTAATAGTGTCATTTTTTAAGGTCAATTTATACCAAAACCTTACGTATAGGGTCGATCTAACGAGTGCCGTTCATAATCACACTACTTGAGCCTTGTTAACAAGAAACAGAAAGGATATCGCGTGATATCAAATTATTGTATTAGAGCTTAATTGATTTCGTCATCTCACCAAGACATAAAATATTGCTGTTTTAGGTTCATATGAATTTACGGGACGTACAATAATATAATAACGTAATACATAATAATCAATAAGTTAATAAGTTTGTTGACTTAATAAAATCACAGTATTGGCCGATGTACGTTAAAATTATATATAAATTCCATAATAATCGGTACTCTGAGGTTTGGTACCCAGTTTTTTCTACATATATATGATTTTATTTGTAAGACATTGTCTTCAGGGTGCAACAAAAACGTTTACGATAGATTCTAGTCTTCCACCAATTCTTCTGCCAGCCGTATCTAGTCTTCTAAGGAGTATCTAATTTAATATTGGTAGTAACTAGTCTTCTGCCTAATGTACGTAGTATTCTAGCAGCAGTATTTAGTCTTATCCAAACAGTTTTTACTTGCATCCAAGTAGTATTTAATATTATCCAACCAGTAGGCAGCCTTCTGTAAGTCCTATCTTAGCAGCATCAACAAGCTATATTTTAATCTTCTGCACGTAGCATCTAGTCTATTAGCATACCTCCTGTTCCATTACCAATCTAGTCTTTTATGAGCAGTTTTTTGTTTTCTGCCATCAATGTGTAGTCTTCTATCAGCAATATTTAGACATTTCTATTGTTCTGCAAGCAGTATCTTGTGTTCCATTTCCATCATCTAGTCCTTAATCAGCAGTATTTACTCTTCCATCACTAATATAAGTGACGACAATTAAACAAAAATCTAAAAGTATTTAACAAACTTTTAGAGTTCTCACTTCTAATTTTATTTCAAAAACACTTCAGCTATTATATTACTTTTGGCTACAACGGACGATTTAAATATATATATTTATAGAACGTCGAATTCACATCGAAAAATTTGTTTAAGGTATCTAAAACATTTTTATGAATACTTCAAATGTAAAGGTGTTGAATATCTAAAGCTATAAAAATCGTTAAATTATTTACCACCTGCTTTAAAAAAGCAATTGGATTATTCAGGTGCATTCTCAAGTTCCATTAGATAGGGGTAATAAAAATAAATAACCTCATCTAATTGATGGTATTAGAAGCCCCGCTCGATACAAAGTCGAAGGCAGAGGTTACAGAAACTCTGGTTGACCTTCAACTCTACGGCCTACATTTCTGTAATTGCAGACGCCGCCAGAAGACGGATATTATATGAAATACTTTTTAAAAACATAAAATCAACAAATACATAAAAATAAAAACAGATAATCCGTTATTTACAGTAGATCCACGCATTTTTTTTCTTGTTATGGGATCGTGAGCGTAACGTAACGCATTCTGAATAAAAAATAACATCTACAACGTGTGTTTATAGAATGGATGGAATGAAGGAAGTTGTTTCGTTGTAATGATATGAATACACGTTGTTATTTTAGACGCAGTGTTTAACATCATTTTTTGGAGAAGGCGTTCTAAAAATAAAACCACTTAACATATAAAAAATTAATTACTTACAAATCAATCGTCTAGAAATTGTTCCATATTCATTTTACAACTTGTTTATACAAGTATCTAATTTCAGATTTCATTCACAAGTTGTATAGTTTTAGTGTTTTGACCTAGTTATTCGTAAAGGTCTCGGTTGTTAACATCTTGAATAATTCATTTCAAAAGGCTAATAAACATTTTCCTTTACAGTTAATCAGAAAAATGAAGACCCACGACGCGTATAGATGATAAATTATACGAAACGACCACCGAACGACTTCTAAATGTCCAAATATAGAATTCTTTTTCATAAATTAGAAGAAATAGAAATTAAATAATTTATAAAATCAACTAATAAAAAAATTAATTAAGAAAAAAATGAAAATAAAAGAGAACTTAATAACGCTAAAATGCGTTCTATTTTGTTTCTTTGGCGGAATAAGCTGCCTATTTCCATTTTTATTAAACCACATGACCTCGAAAGGATTAACGAAGGATATGTCTTGGATCATTTCAACAGTAGCAGCATGTGTAGCTATTTTAGGACCTGCTATTGCCGGTCCTGTGGCTGATAAATTCGCCGGAGGATTTGGTGGAAGCAAAATCAGTAAATCTGGAACTTATTTAAGGGTTATGATTGCGATTTGTATGATACTTTCAGCAGTTTTTTATCCGTTATTATTAGCAATTCCAACAGTTGTAAGTAAAAAAATGAAAAATTAAATTTATAAATTAATAAATTTATTTATTAGGTAAAAACTCCACCAGAAGTAACTTTTATTTGCGATGAACAAGGAGGTGCTATTATACAAGAAGGTTGTGGTCCGGAAAAGACTTGTTATAATTGGAATGAGGAAGAAAGAGGATTGTTAAAAGTTTCAAAGTGCCGGTTTACTTGCGAATCAGACATTAAATTAACTTCTACAACCACTACCATTAGCCCTGAAGAATATACGAGTACTGCATCTGAAGAATATGATGGTGCCGATTATAATGATAGTGATTTAGTCGAAGTTGAACCTAAAGACGATGACGAAGATGAATATGAATTTCCAAGAGTAAGAATACTTTATAATATAAAATATTTTCAATTTTTTATCTTATTCTATTTTAGAGAAGCAATGCTACAATGGATGTAATCCCACTGCCACATTTATGTTATACAAGGGATAATGGAGATGGAATTTGTGAAGTTTTCTCAAAATATTCCAATCCAATCGCTTTAAATGTCAATTTAAAACCATCAAATGGTCATTACAGCGATAACGGGACCGAAGAACTTTGTAAATATCATATCGGTAAGTCAATTTTGAAAGTTTTATTACCTCAATTATTGCAATATTTTTTAGGAAACAATTTTCGTTGTCGTATCCCCGAAAAAATAACTTCAAATCTCACCGCAGTTGCACCAGATTGTCGACCAATCGTACGATGTGACCTTTACGAACCTTACAATATTTCCCAAGGTGGAAAATTAGTCGTTTCTGAATGTGGTTATTCTAATATAAGCTTCTGGTTGTATCTAATCACAAGATCGATAGCTGATATTTTCCCAGCTGCCGTTGTTACATTACTAGACGCAGCGGTTATTATAGCCACAAGGGAAACTTCAACAGGCCGCGGAGATGTTGGCAAACAATTTGCAGCTGGCGTCTTAGGTTTTGCGTTATTCGCCCCTATTATAAGCAACGTAGACGTTTGGTCTGATGGTGGAGTTGATGTGATGACAGTTTCATTAATATCCTTCGCGGTTTTAATGGTTTTGGGGGCGATCATTATTCTCGTCGATGGTAAAATGCCGTTAAGTCCACCAGAATGGTGGTGGCATACAAGATGTGGACTTTTAGCTATGCCAATGTCGAGCGTTAAAAAATATGGATTAGAAATTGGTGCTTTATCTTTAATATTGGTTATGTTGGGAATCTTTTGGAATGCTATTGATGTTTATCTCCCTTGGAGGATTGCTTCTTTAGGAGGACCTCCCGTTATTGTTGGGTTATCAATCACTATAGGGGCTCTTTTTGCAATTTTTTTCATGTTAATTGCTGAAAGATTCGTCGATTATTGCGGTCATACAAATTTGTTAATTACCGCTTTTGTATTGTATATCATTCAATATACAGGTAAGAATAGTTATAAATAACATTGGAATCAGTTTGAATGTTTTCTTATCTTTTTAGGAATGGCTTTTATAACGGAAGCCTGGTTCTTGTTAATATGCGAAGCTTTAGAAATATTCACGTTACATTTACTATGGATCACTGCCGTTTTATACCTTCGTCACTTAATACCAAGAAAATTTACTGTCTCAGGACAAGCACTGCCTGTTATAGCTCATTTCTGTTTAGGTAATTATCATAATATGATTTATATTAAAAAATATCTTATAAGAAAAAAGATTCAAGTGAGATATTTAAGTGTGTTAAGTCTTGATTTTAATCTCCTGAAGCTAATTAATTATGTATCAGTACATATTCTTCAGAAAGAAAGTCGTTGTTTTAATCAAGTTTTGTTTTGATCATTATTGTTAGCAGGCCATCTTGCCAGTCCGGAATTATACCCTAATTCCAAATTATTTCTTTGGAATCTTTTCTCTTTGACTACTTTTTGCAGTTGCTCCAGACTGCTAGGTTTCCTGTTCTCAGATAGTTTTCTAGCTATGAAGAAAAGCTCCGGAACCAAGAAACTTTTTGTGTTAGTCAGACGTACATCGCAGGAGAGAGAATTTAATTAAGAGAGGAAAAATGTCAGTGAAGCATATGATGATAGGATTTCAAACCATAGTCGCAATATTTACAATACTATTTAAGTTGGTCGTCGTATATAGTTTAATAATACAAAATATATTGGCAAAACATCTAGAAATTCTAATAATAAAGTCTAAACGTTGCATATTTATACCCCAAATTGTAATTTTGAGTCCACAACAGTCAAGAACTACTCTTTAATTGTAACAATTATAACTCTGTAAAAGTAATTTACAAGGTAAGGTAGCGCTATCATCCAAAGGTTACATTCCGATTGTTGTGGTTGGGGTAATTTTTCGAGGATCTATCATGCAGTCAATTTAAACCTTTATGTAGCAGAGCACCATCAGATGAGGATTCAATACATGATAACTTTTAATAATATGAGGTCATTGCTACGAATCGATCATAACCAACTATATGCTTTACACCTGATTCAAAAAAAGGTATAATCGCTTTCTTCTAAACTAATAAAAAGTTGAAGTAAGCATATTGGACAAGAGTCAGAGTCAAGACTAAACCTAGAATTGAATTTGCGCTCATTATTAATACCAGCGTACATTGCTTTATCGACACTAATGTGTTGTATTAATGATAAATTTACTTGTGTTGGTGATTAACATGATGTAAATTCAATATCCATGGAATTTAATAAGCCTTTGGCGAAATGGACCATGAGATACTTGTGTCCTAACTACCTAGATAGGATTTTCTGACCTTTGGACCTGCAACCAGATTTTGACCAAAAGCAGAGTTGCCACATACCCTGTATCGGCCTATGTTAAGGACATTGATGTAAACAGATAGAACAATTAAAATTGAAAGTATCATAATGAAGGTTTTTTCAAAAATATGTAAAGCCAATGTTCTTAACCGGTGTAAAAGCAAAATAAATGTGATAAAGGAAGTAAAATTGAAGAGGAAAAAAAGAAAACCACATTACTTATCTACACCTCGCCGTTAAAGCGTTTATCAGAATCTTCAATATGTAAGATCACCAAAAGTAATGCAAAAAAACACTTGGTACTGAACCCTGTTTTTTCCCCATTTCCCCCTTTCCTCTTTTGTCTTCCCAATTCCGTTCCTACTGGTATTTTGTGATAATGAGGTCCAACTCTCATCCCAGCGTTTATGTGGTCTTTCTGGGAGTCTCCTAGTTTCTTCGTTTTGATTTTCTTTGCCAATCTTTCCTCACCCATCCTTTCAATATGATCCCTCCAGTATCTTTACACAGATTTACTTTACTTACACAGATCCAGAATAAGGGATTTTTGTAGGTGAGGGAACCTGTTCTGTAAAGATGTGTCCAAACATAGCGCAGCAAGTGCGCGGCGTTCGTAGGACATAATTTTTGCAAGTTTGGACATATCAAAGAATGTCTGCGTGGCATATGCTAGACACGCGGCGCAGTTATTAAAAATGTTCGCAAGCAGAAAAACGCCTTGCGTGGCAGTCGCGCTCGAATATGCTGAGACACACCCTTACTGATAAACAAATAGAAAATTTAAAGCAGAATTTTCAATATGTCAAAATGCAAGATATAGCAACTCACAACGTGATCAAACACTTTCGCAGCAACTGATAATATTAAGATTGGTCGAAAATTGATGGAATGCCTCAAGGAACCNGCGTTTATCAGAATCTTCAATATGTAAGATCACCAAAAGTAATGCAAAAAAACACTTGGTGCTGAACCCTGTTTTTTCCCCATTTCCCCCTTTCCTCTTTTGTCTTCCCAATTCCGTTCCTACTGGTATCTTGTGATGATGACGTCCAACTCTCATCCCAGCATTTATGTGGTCTTTCTGGGAGTCGCCTAGTTTCTTCGTTTTGATTTTCTTTGCCAATCTTTCCTCACCCATCCTTTCAATATGATCCCTCCAGTATCTTCTCCGCGATCTTATCTATCTGACCACATCTTGTACATAGACCAGTTCGCGGGTCCTCTCGCTTCGTATCCTACGCAGGCTTAAGCCTGTAATAGTTCTTACGGTTTTCATCTCTGTCAAATTCATGAATAGATAGGTTAGTTAGATTAGAGTGTAAGGTATATTCAGTTGATTTTTATACCGCCATAAATGTGAAATCCCAGACCAATGATATATGATGCAGCAAATCCGCATATATGCTAGCTGGGGGACCAACCTGCGAAATATATGAAACGCAAAAACGTTTCTGCCAATTTATGGTAATTGTCAACCCCCGGCTAGTGCAAAATCAAGGATGACAGATAGGTTCCTCACAATCTGCAAAAAGGAGATCAAAAAGAGACCCAGAGCTGAGATTCAGAGTCCTGAACATTTCGACTAGTGGGAAATTATTTCTAAAACCTTATTGAGGTAGTCAATTTTATAACACAGATCCAGAACAAGGGATTTTTGTAGGTGAGGGAACCTGTTCTGTAAAGGTGTGTCCAAACATAGCGCAGCAAGTGCGCGGCGTTCGTAAGACATAATTTTTGCAAGTTTGGACATATCAAAGAATGTCTGCGTGATAAACAAACCGAACCCCCTTACGAAACACCCTTACTGATAAACAAACAGAAAATTTAAAGCAGAAAGAATCTGCAATATGTCAAAATGCAAGACTCACAACGTGATCAAACACTTTCGCAGCAACTGATAATATTAAGATTGGTCGAAAATTGATGGAATGCCTCAAGGAACCGTTCGGTCCCTCTTAGAGATTAAACATGCCATCTTTTACTGTTCAGAAAAGGTTAAAGGTTCTACTGAAAAAATAAGGATTTGAATCAACGAGAAGAAAAACACATCAAGTAGCGATAAGAATAGCTCATTAACTCGATCTCATTTTTACAAACAGCACCATTATTGGCGTCAAACTAGATATCTGACTGCTACATATTTTTGACTAAAACGCAATTTTTATAAATTTTTAGGTCGAGTAATTGGTGCATATATCGGAGGATTCGCTCATTCAGGTGATAAATTTCAATTTATCGAATTCCATCAATGGATGGCGGTTGCAGCTGCAATTATTGCGATTATTTACTTTTTCTCCTATCATATGTACCTTAAACCAAAGTGTGCAGCTCCAACGCAACACCCACCTCGACCAACACCAGCTTTAATTCAAAGTAAAAAAAAAATAATTTTTAATACAATTAATCATTATATTAATATTTTTTTAGATGGAAATGGATCTTATACACCTCTTAGAGTATACCATAATGGAAGAGCGAAGAAAGGTCAATTTAGATATTAAAGAGTGACTTATGTGAAGGACTTTTTAGCTTTATTGTTATCCTTAATGTAAGAGAATCGTAAAAAAACGAATCCAGTGCGAAAAGACTATTTAATTATTGAATTAATTTTCCCCATTTTTTTTTTTATTTTTATTTCTTTTTGTATGTATGTATATCTGCTTTAAATTCCTGTTATTGTTTTATAAAATAAACACCTAATTTTTCAAGGGATTTTTTTTTAAAACACCCATTTTTTCAAATTTTTCAAAATTTATTTTATACAAATTAATTTTAGATTTTTAATGACATGCTTAATACTAAAAGAGAAAAAAGACAAACTTATTTCGTATTAATTTGAGTAGTATTCACAGAATAAATTCCTCAAAAAAATCCTATTGTTGTATTTTGAAACACAACAAAACATAAAAATAAAATTTATTTGATAATCTATTAACTAGGTATAATACATCTAATTATCTTTATAACACAACTTGTCACTCTTAAATTATAATTTAATATTAATTCATCTCTTCAATTATTTTATCAAGATCTGAAATACAATCAATTGATTCATTATCAGTCCGAGAATCTTTTTCAGTTTCTTTAAGTTCACTATTTGAATCAAATATTGTTAGATCATCTAATTTTTCAACACTTTCAGATTCCACTGTTTCATTTGAAACCGTTCTTTTTTCTTCTTCAGTATTCAATTTATCGTTTTCTTCAGTTTTATCATCATTAATAATTTCATCTACATCCCTTTCGTTTTTATTTTCTTTATCTATATTAATATTTTCATCTTTATCAATTTCATCATCTTCATCAATTTCTTCGTCATTATTAATTTCGTCATCATTATTAATTTCTTCATCATTAATAACATCGTCATTTTTATTAATTTCTTCATCTTTATCAAATTCGTCTTCATTAATCTCTAAATCTTTATTAATTTCTTCGTCTTTATTAAATTCATCTTTATCAATTTCCTCATCTTTATTAATTTCATCATTTTTATCAAATTCTTTATATTTATTAATAATTTCATCCTCATCAAAAATATTTTTTTCACTATCATTTTTATTTTGATTATCACAATTTCCAATATCATCATTATCAATTTCTACACATTTCTTACTAGTATCGCTTTTATTTGGAACTATTGCACAAGCAAGATGATCTTCAAAATCTTCATTAATCCATTCGTCGTTATCAATTTCAGACTGCTCTGTACTGGATGGAAGCAAAAGTTCTTCTGTAAGCATTTTATTTATTTCATCATTTCCAAGAACTTCCGTTGTATCTTTTTTATTATTTTCATCAACTATTTTATTGGAGTTTGTTTCGCTTTCAGATTTCTCTTTTTCTTTATCATTTATTATTTCCATTTCTTGATTTATTTCTTTGTCTAATAAAGTGTGTATATTAGAAGATGTATTTTTATCATTATCATTATTTTCTTCTTCATTACTATTCTTCTCTTTTTCGTTACTTATTAAGACAAGTTCCTGGTTTTCTTTATTTATTGGGGTATCCTCATTTCTTGCATTATTTAGTGGGAGATTCTCCCCTTTTTTCTTATTTATTCCAATATCATCCTCATTTTCCTTATTCCTATTCATTAGACTTTCTTTATTAATTACATCTGCTTTAACTTCATTTATTTGCCTACTCTCTTCTTTTTCTTCTTTCATCAATACACTCACTTTATTTACCGTTTTAACTTCACTTCGAATTGGTGGATCATCCGGAATTGTAATACATTCTGCTGGAACTTTTAAAAGTTGAGACACAGACCTCACTTTCAAATAAGGTCTACCATTATTTTCTTTATTCTTGGTGGGTTGTTTTATCTCCTTCGGAGGTGTATTAACAATAACGACATCGTCGTCATCCTCGTTTTCATCTTTTACCACATTTTGAGTTACCGGAGCTATTTGAATACGCGGCGCGTTATTTTGTGCGGTAAATTTTAAATGGTTTAAGTCCTCTAAAAATTGATTTCGCAAACTTTTTCGGACTTGGATTAAAGAATTAATTGATGTGCTCAATAATTCTTGCAGTTTATTATGAACTTGAGCTAAATTTTCTACAGTTTTTGATCCCTTTAATTCGTTGGTTAATGTATCTATAGTAAGGGATAGATTTCCAGTGATGGTTGAAACTACGGTAGCTGCCTTTTCGAACCATTCATGTTTAGTATCTGGGGCTAAATGAACTGGAATTGAACTAATAAGAGGCACTGTTGTTGGAGTAGCTGCAACAACTTTAACTGTTGGATTTTGAATACGAATTACGTTTGCGTTGTTTGGTTTGCAAACATTTGCTGTTGGACTACAAATATAAAATGATGAAGGTGGTTGAGTTACAGGCTTTTTTGGGACATAAGTTAATATTGATTGGGATTTATTTTCTTTATTAACTTTCGGCGGATCTTTTTTATTATCGCTAATTATATTGGAAAGATCTGGAGCGCAAACGACCTTTTCAGGCGCCTTAGGCATTGATTTAGATCGCTTAGATAACTTATTTTCCTCTAAATATGGATTGTACGTTTCATCTTCGTCCCTTTTTCGTTTAGAAGACGATCTCGTCCTCCCACAACACATTGAATGATCGACTTTTAATCGTTCAACATTTGAAAGAGCTTTAGCTAACCGGATTTCTTCTTGCATAAAATCGTATAAACTGGAGCAAATTATTTTTAAATTTAGCAACTGAGAAGGATTACAACCAAAACATAACCAATCATCACTGTCCTTTATCATTTCCAACGTTTTTTTACCCAAGTTTTGGCGAACACATTTCTATAACGGCCCAAAAACTTTTTTATCAACACAAAAAAATGTATTTATGATCTTACCTGGCAGAAAACATAAGCACATTGTGCGCAGCACATAACCTTTCCTCCTTGTCCACACCATCTACAATACATTTCGCTCCCATCTTCATCTTTATCAAATTCCCCGCTACAATAAAAGTTATAACAAGATTTGCAGACAATAACTTTTAATAATGGATGGATATAACGATTGAAAAAATTTATTGGGGCACTCCCCAAGTGGACGTTACAAGCGGTGCAATGTAATCGATGAAATTCAACCGATAATTCACCTAAAAAAACAAACTTTTATTTCACTTCGTCCATCAATAATTTTTCATAAATTTTACCTGCAGTAAATACATTCTTTTTTGCTTCAATTTCAAACTCTGTTAAGTTTTCAGGAACTTGAGAAGGATGTTTAAATTCTAGTTCAAGTAAATCTACAAAAATAGTTAAAATTATTTTTTCTTTTGAGGTTAAGAAAAACAAATAAAAATTGACTACAAAAGATGGCGCTTTTTTAAGCGCGAATTACAATTTAATACCACAAATACTTTGTATCATTTCCTAATCAAAATTTATAACCAAAATTAATCTTATAACATAATAAAGAGTACTTACGTTGTACTTTAGCATCATCATCGTCATCAATAGACGAGCCCGTACTGGCTGTATCATCCTCATCGGAATCTAAAACAAGTCCAAAGAAATTCTAACCTCAAAAAAAATTTAAAGTTAATATTAAAATGTTTTATACCTGCTCCGACATCAAGGGGGGTCTCATCTATGTCCATGCATATCTGCGGCGTCAATAAATCTTCCATCGTATGGAAGATTGTGAAGGCGTTTATGGAAACCAAGACCAACCTATACAACTAGTCTAATGCACTTTCAATACAACTTTTTAAGTTTCCCTCGTTTAGATAACATCGTAACCGATGAAAACTATCATATTCTAACCTCCAAACGATCTACACACTCCAAATTGTGGGTTTATTAATAAAAACTTAACCAAAACGTCACTCGAAGATAAATAATGTCTTTTTAATTGGTGGTGTTCGACGGGAGATGGCGTTACAAATTATTATTTACTATTCTATTATTTACATTTTTGGAAAATCAAAATTAGATTATAATTAAAAATTTTAACAATAAAATTGTTTCGTTTATTGATTTTAAAATAATATAGTTTTATAATAGTTTTTGAGAATGTCATTTTTTCCTTTGTTTGAAGTGATGTTAGCCAATATATGTTAAGAAACATTACAAATGGTTTAAGAATTTCATTAAAAAATGGTTTCACAGGTTGTTGTTGATGATAAAATTTTTGACGAAAGCAAATTTCTAAAATATGTTATGATTTCAGTTTTTTATCAAGTCTTGTCTCATTCTCTTCTATTACATTTTTCTTTCTTTTCCATCTTTTTCCGTGGATTAACTTTTTGTATCCTTCCAGCTGTATGTATGTAGTTTCATGTGGTCCTTTGTGGTCAGTGGGTTCTTTGTACATCCCCGCAATTTACACTTCAATCAGGGGTCAGAAAACCAACCCAAGGTTATAATGAACGGTACTATAGAACAGAAAGGTATATTTCTTATGTCCAAAATTTCCAGTCTCATCCTATTTATCGCAAAATGCTCGATGGGAGATGGAGTTGATCAGCTTTGATGCTGTATTAAAAGTTATGGGTACAAACGATTCAGCGGAAACCGGGGAACGGTGCAGCTGGAGATCGTGCGAGAAGATTGCCAAGGTGGATTGTATGTTATACATCTGTCCCATACGGCAGACTATGCATGATACCTTTGTTCCTCTTGAGTAGACTTTTCGTTCTTAAAGTTGCTATTTAACAATCTCTTTCTTCTCAGAATACATTATGTTCATAGTCTCTCTGCATTCATCTGGTTTGTAGATCTTACCAAAGACTCTGACAAGGTTCCTCTTCATAAGCTGAATACGAATAATACAACTAAAGTAAGACTAGGAAATCAAACAACGGATAATATTGCCGCCTCAGGAGGAATTAGACAAGGAGACGGTCTTAGCTCGTTTCTGTAATGCAGAAGATGCAGCCATAATCGCAGGAACAGAAGACGACCTACAACGACAACAGCATCCATTCTTTCAAGCAAGCCGCATCCTCATCATAGCTATTTACCAAGTCCATGACTAGGGGAAGACAACAAGTTTTCTTTGCAAAAACACCTACTGCAGTCTCATCCCATTTATCGCAAAATGCTCGATGGGAGATGGAGTTGATCAGCTTTGATGCTATATTAAAAGTTATAGCTACAAACGGGGATACCGGGGAATGGCTTCTTTGATCCATCAGTATAGATGGTCAGCCTTTTACCTGTGCTAATGTTGCTCTGAGGTATCGTCTCAATGCCAAAGTGTGGCCTGTTTAAGAAAGTAGGTGTGATGTAGTCTGTGCGAGCTTCAAGGAGGGATTCTTTACGGATAGCCTCACATCAGAGTTTGTTCCGCAGTATTCTTATTATTATCTTTCCAGCTTTTAGCTACCTTGAAAACGTCAAGAACAGTCTCCGCCATCTATCCCTGTAGATATTCTCTATATCATCTTCTTTTTATGGCACCCCTGACTGTCCGGCATACGTGTATAATAGAACTTGAGCGGAATGTCATGCTATTATAATCGAAATTGAATACTGCTATTCCCAAATAACCGTAACTTAGCTCTTGCTGAGATTACATAGATATTTTCGTCCAAATGAACTTTGAATTGAACTTTGTGTAGTTTAGTACTGCTAACTCGATAATGGAAAGGAATAGTTACCCAAAAATGTCTACAAGTTTGCATTCTGTTTGACTAAATAGTTTCCATTAGATTATGATTACTATTAAATCAGTGTAGGCTCTAACCTCTGGCTTTGTTTCTCTTCAACAAATCTGCAGTTTACTTATGCTAACTCTTGGATTCTGTATGTGTTTTATTTTATATGTTTCTGTATGCATTTTACCCACTGTTTTTTTTCCAGATACTGCAACATGCTTTTGTTCTTGACCTTTTAAAAAACTAGTCATTATGTTTCACTCTTTCCAATATTTCTTTTTGGATAATCTGGATTTTGTAATTTCTTGAAAACTTCATCACTTCTTGCGCTGCCAACTTAGCTGTGATATTACCGTAATTTCTATAGATTCTGTTCTGACTTTGCAATCTGTGTTTATTTCGCATCTGTTCTTATTTACCAGAAAGTATGTTATACATCTATCCCATACGGCATACTATGCAGGATACCTTTATTCCTCTTGAGTAAACTTTGCGTTCTAAAAGTTGCTATTTAACAATGTTTTTCTTCTCAGAATATATTATATTCATTGTTTCTCTGCATTCATCTGTTTCATAGATTTTACCAAAGATTTTGACAGGGTCCGTCTGTATAAGTTGAATACGAATAATGCAACAAAAGTAAGACTAGGGAATCAAACAACGGATAAAATTGCCAGCTCAGGAGGAATTAGACAAAGATACAATCTTACTTTGTTTCTGTTATGCAGATGATGCAACAATAATCGCAGGAACAGAAGAAGGCCTAGAGCGACAACAGCATCCATTCTTTCAAGCAAGCCGCATTCTCCACATAGCTATTTACCAAGTCCATGACTAGGGGAAGACAACTGACGAGACAATGGCAACAAGAGTCAGATGGAACTAAATAACGGGGGCTTATTTAGAAGCTCAGAACCACCTGGGAGATCCCTAAAGACATGGTGAGATAGCTGGCATTTCTTAGCATGGTTATTTCCGTTAATAAGACCAAGTTCATGACTACTCCAAAAGATCCGGTCAAATACAAACTTTTCCAAAAATCGTGCTTCTAAATAACCCCTCCAACTCAAGACCAACTAGGAGTCCCCCAAAGATATGCCGAGATAGCTGGCAAGTTCAGAAGTAATAGATTGGCAGATGTCCAATAAGAATAAGAAGAAGATCTAGATCTCTTTAAGAGATTTTGCATTCTTAACCTGATTTTCTTTTTCAGCACCATTTGCATTTTCTAAAGTGAAATAACCAATTTAAAAATATCTTGTTAGTATGTTTGAGTGAATGTTGGTTGTTTGGGATTTATAAACTTTACATCATATACGTTAACTTCATATACTTCGACTATGGGAGAAAGTAAAAACTTCATCAATCGATAAAATAACTATAGCAACTTGTAAATAAACGTTAGGTTGGGTAAGATTTTTGGCAGATAGGCGAAAATATCCAGTTGAAAACTTCCAAATCCTTCCTAAAAATATCGGAAACCATATAAATGGATGAATTAAAAGAAAAAGGAATTCATCAAACAGCCATTAATATATGCGAAGATTTAAAAGAGTCCTCTTCTTATGCTGCACTTTATAGAGAAATTCAAGTAAGTTACAATTTTTAATTTTTTAATTAAAACCATAAACAATTTATGTTATAGAAATTAGTTTCTTGCCAAGAAGTGAAATATGAAGATTTTAAAAGAACTTTATCGAAAGCGATGAAAGACCAGGGGTTAGAATGTCAATTACGAAATAACGTTTTTCAGTGGGTACGTTTAAAAAATGCGGATATGGCGACGAATATGGCGTATTTAAGGCGAGCTCAAATAAATTGGGATAAACGTATTCACAAATCATTAAATTCTATGTGTAATGAACTTGGAATCGATTTAGCTAAGGTGCGATTTTTAAACGAAAGGGATGAATTAGCCGATAAATGGAATGAAATGAGCAATTACGACGTTGGTAAATAATAGTAAATTTAACACGTTTCAAATTAAACAACGATTTTTTTTGTTATTTTAGATGTTAGCAAATATAGGCCGGTTTATGCACCAAAAGATTTTTTAGAAGTGCTTTTAAATCTAAAGGATCCATTTTTTGTTCACAAAGAGTTGCGTTCTTTTACAACCCTCTCAGCAACAAAATTTTACTTTTGTTTTTCTACCTACTTTACAAGCCTAAATCTTCGTAGTGTTTAGAGGTAGGAATATTAAATACACCACTAGAAAGCTTGATCTTTCTTTCATCTAAAACCCTATCCTGTCCACATCTTAATATCAACAGCAAAAAAAAAATAGAGATCATCGCCTTATTCAAAATACACATCAAAATTATCAAACTCCAAGCCCGTGTGTAGCCATTATGGAACCAAGTTTAAATAAAAACTTTATCAATTTGGAAATAACATATTAACTTCGAAAACTTCGGACGTCATATTTGTTAAGAAACCAGGGATTTTGCAGCTTTTTGGGGGAAAATTCTTGTGCAACCTTGCGATCTTCTAAAGTTATATTCCACTGTATAAAGCAGAAAATTTCCTATGGATTCTATATGGTCTTGGAGTTTTGTTCATATCATATAAGAAAGTTATGACTCCGTAAAAACGCCAATCTACCAATTCTATGTATAAGATTGTTCATTAGGCGTGTTCTTCGGCCGACGCAGATAGATATTGATCGAACAAAACCCGGATTTATATACAACTTTTTGTAAATTCGGTACCATAACGACTGCACATGGGCTTGAAGTTTGATAATTTTGAGATGTATTCAGTACATTGCGTTCCAGTTTTAGATCAGAAGAAAAGATCAGGTTTTCTAATGGTGTTTAATATTCCGCTATCTCTAAAGACAACGAAGTATTTATAAAGTAGTTGAAAAAAGAAAAGCAAAATTTGTTGCCGTTTTTACACGTATAAAAAATTCTCTTTAATCTTAAATATATATATTTTAGAAATGATCCTGAATGGGAATTTACCTTTTTACCTTTAGAAGTAAAAGATTTAGAAGATTTACGAACTCTTTATTTAGAATTTTCAAGAGGTGAGCAAATTTTAGGTGCTTACACTGGAGCAACGTACGCAGCTTTTGAAGAGGAACGTATGGCCCTTGGACAAGTGGTTTTGCAAAAAAATTATGCGCCAATTGCTCAAGAATATTTAAAAAAAGGTTGTCCAAGAAGTTTGCGTGCAAAGATGTGGTCGTTAGTTTTAGGAGTTGGTTGCAAATTTAATGTGGGTTTTCTTTTTTATAAAAAAACGTTCTTAATGAGTTATTTAAATTTGTTTAGGAACAAGATTATTTTCATAACTTAAAAAAACATGTTTTTTTGTACGATTTAATGATAGATAAATTAATTATAAAAGACATTCAATTAACTACATCAAACGACGATCAATATTTTGTTTTTGAAGATGTATTGTATCAAGTTATGTTGTGTTTTTCACGGGATACTTGTATCATAAAACATTTAAAAAACCAACCAGGTTATATGCAGGTCGTCCTTAAAAATAAACCTCACACCCCCGAAAACATTATGGCTTTTCCACCGAGTGGAGTGATTCCATTTCATGGATTTACAATGTACGGTTAGTTTTTAATTAATTTTTTAACCATTTTTTTAATTAAATAACTATTTTTTAAGCCGCTCCAATTTGTTACTTATACTCCGACCCGTCCACATTATACTTCGTCTTCAGAGCTTTTTACTTAAGGTATTGGAACCGTTTACACGTCGTTTGCGATCATCCACAAGGAATTGTAGCTTTGTGTTTACTTTTTGAACGTTTATTACAAAGTTACGCACCCAAACTGTGGATACACTTTACGGAAATTGATATTCCTCCGTGAGTTTGATTTAATTTTTAACTTTAATTATTAACCTTGACATGACCTTGAAAATTTTGCAGGTTAAGGATCGTGTTTAAATGGTTAATGAGAGCTTTCAGCGGGCATTTACCACCTGAACAATTATTACAATTATGGGATATTGTGTTAGCTTATGATTCCTTGGAGGTAATTCCACTTTTGGCGGTAGTTATATTGATTTTTAGGAAGGACAATTTGTTACAAGTTACCACATTGAGTAACATCGAAGCTGTACTTGCTGACTTATCGTCAATTACAGTTATACCCTTACTTCAAATGGCCCTTTTAAAGGAGTAAATTTGTATTTAAATGTGTGTATAAATTTTTATATGAAAATCAAATTTTAAGGTAAAAAGTAAATCACTTTTGAAAGTTAAATTTTTTGACATTTTATTTTGACAATGTCGGTAAAGTAGAATTAATTAAGTTTATTAATCAATTTTACTCGTTAAAACAATTAAAATTAATCAACATAGATATTTGAGTAATCTTATATTTGTTATCTCGTTTCAAACTTATTTTTTTAAGTAAATTTAATTTATTTTGACGTTATCATTTGACAGTTAATATCGGTAAAATAGAAATCATCCGCCTTCTTTATTTACCTCAAAATACTTCGAGACTAATTACAAAACTATTTATAAGATAAATGTTCAATTCGCGAGGAAGATTTTATTATTCTACGCGTTATTAACGATGGGTTGTTGTTATAGTTTTTTCTGCAAAGAGGACACTACGTCTCAGGTATTGTTGATTATTTGACAATTAAAAAAAAGTTAGGTTAGGTTAGTTTTTATTGTTGATTAATTTTTGTGTTGTACAATAAGAATGGAGAACCGAGCGAAAGAACACATTTACTTGAAAATACCGCGGTGAATAACACTTCTATACAAAGAATTAACAGGTAAGGTTAAATTAAATACAATTTTTAAGGTTAACGGAAAATTTCTATGCTTTAGTGAAGATTTATTGAGTAACGATTCAAATACGTTTACTAAAAAGACTGATGAACAATCTGCATTGAATAAGATTTTGCAAGAAACTGCGACGTAATTATTTTAAAAGTGAGGTTATGTTTTGTATTAATTTTTTTTGTTATAGAAATGTTATTGATGTAGCAGCTTTAGATTCACATAATCTTCAACACCACGATTACATCGATCGATCAAAACAGTACAGAGTTAAAGTCCAACAAATATGTTCTAATTATAGGTTACCGCCAAAAAAAAATAATTTTTTGTTAAAAGATATTCCAAACCCTGAAAATATCTTATCAACGGAATCAATTAGTAAAGATGAAGCCCAATTTGTAAGAACATTATTAAATAAATACTTGTATTCTTTAATTATTTCATTTTAGATCACAGCATCATTATCAAAAGCTATAGCGGCCATAAACGACATTAAAATTGAACATAAAGAAGACTTGGTGGTACTGTTTCGAGTCCCTTAATAAAATATATTAACAAATAGCACTTTTGGGGCACATTATTAAAGCAACGTCAACTGGTTATGTTTATTATTTGTTGTAGCGTATGAATGTACATAATGTGATATTTTTAAAGTAATTAATAATGTACTCCTTTAAAAATTACAAATATGTCTTTGTGTTTTCAATTTGTCTGTAATCTAAATGACTCACTATGGTTTTTTTTTTAATTAAGGCTTCTTTATTTGCTTGTTCTTTTGGTGTTGGTATGTCAATAACTTTAAAATCGATTATTTATGGCGATTTTAAGTTGTATTTGACGTATTTATATAAGTTCAAGATTCAAATAATTATTGTACATTGTTTAACTAAATAAAAATTTATAAATGCAGTGTGTTAATTAATTAAAGTACCCGACAAAGTATGCAACCAATATCACAGATTGGTATTGCAAAGTGACGAAAGTTCCTAAAAACGATGGCGACAATTCATTAACTTTAAAAGCTGTTTAAAATATATTTAGATATATTTTTATAATTAAAAAAATAATTTAAATATAAAAAAGATCTAACTTTCTGTACAGCTGTCAACATTTGGTTACTAATTTAAAATTATCCAAGCTACCACTACATATTGAGATATGCAGTCAATATTACACAGGTCACGTGGGTTACGATAATTAATTAACAGTGTATATCTTGTATTTATTATACTTTTATTATTAAAAACATACACATTTATAATACAATTTTTAATATTGAATGAACCATAAAAATCATTTATGATTCACTCTACGTTATTATAAGTATTTAATATACTATTTTATGCTTTTGCTTCAGTTTTATTAGTAGTTACAAGTTCTATAACTTTATGGTGATTATCATTGTGTTCACTATTTGGAACGTGGAAAAAATACAGCATAAATCCAGCAGCTAACAATAAATGAAAAGTAATTATACCTAAAGTAATAAATAACTGGTGTCTTGAAACTTTTAAGGAAGGACTTAATGTAAATAATAAAACTGAACCCGAAAGACAAGCAGCTATGATAACCAACAACCATTGCAACCAACTGACTTGAATAGTCCATAAAATCGACGTTGGAATGTATATAAATAAAGAATAACCATAAATGCAAATTAATTCCAAAGCTTTAGGATGAATGGTTTCTTCTAAACTTTCAAGGTCTGATGAACCTTTCATGCTCCATTTTAATAAGCTCCATAAACCTAATGGTATGATGGTTATATATAAGAAAATTGTCGTTGCGGCATACGAAACTAAATGGAAATCATATTTCCAATGTATTTTTTCATTTGCATGTTGTAAATAGTTTGCAACATTTCCACTTATGGCTATTGTAAATACCAAAGTAACAGAGATCCAAAATGGGCCATACAAATCTGGTCTGGCTTTAATTTGGCTTTTTAATAATGTATCTCTGTTTGGTAGAACGGAAGATTTAATTCTATCCAAAACATCTGTTGTGTCCACATCGAAAAATTTTTGATAATAATCAAGAGTCCAAAACGATTTTCCTGGCGACATTTCTAACACGAAAATAACACATTAAAAAAGTTAATTAATCGAATTTTAAGCTTTCTCACCGTTAGGATTATCTTCTAATTTTCTTTCCGATTCCTTATCACCGTCTCCAGCGCCCACGTTACTGCTAAATTGTTGAAATGAATTCGTTGATACGTTTATATCATTGACATTGAGTTGTGCGCTTAAAGTTTCTGAGCTTCCGCTTGTATGTACAGATGGATAATCGTGAAAGGATAATAATTCATCAGTTGGGACTTCTTTTAAACCTGCCATAATATTCTTAAATTGATTTATTTAAGAGGAACAGTTCATTTTTTAGGGGATTGTTTTGGTTTTTTTACACGTATCAAAATGTCAACGTCAAATGGGTTGTTGTGATTAACGATAGATGGAGGTAAAAAATTTAATAAATTTAATAATAAAAAAATAATTTGGAGTTTTTAATTTAAGTTCGCATAAATAATCTTGATAAAATTATTACAGCTTTAATTTTTTGGGTTTATACAAATATTATTATTGTATTTATACGATTGTTATAATATTGAAAAGTTCTGACAAACACCAAAAGATGTCAGTGGTGATTTATGAATTTTAAAAAATAAATCAAATTTATTTTCAAAAAAAAAAAAATCATTGACTATTGTCTGTCATATAATATTTCCTCAAATTAAGACCGTTTTACAAGAAATTTCAAAAGTATAAATAATAAATCACTCACGATGGGTGAAAAACTAATTAACGACTGGTTAACTGTGTACCTGAAAGATTATGATAAAAAAGTTGGTGGACGGTAAGAGACGATATGATTTAGGATTTAGAAGTAATTTTTTATTTTTCAAGATCTGCAGATTGCCGGGTTAGTCCAGAGTTTAAAGACCCCATGGGTGAAAGTTTTCGACAATACTTAAAATTAGAACCGAAAGATTTGGGACAATGCGAAGAACATTACGAAGAATACCTTAAAACTGTAATTAAAATATAAAAAAGAAAATTTATTTCACATTTTTTCATCAGCATCATCATTGGCACCACAACCAGGATCAGCTTCCACTTTCTTCTATCTCGTGTCTTGGCCTACCAGTTTCTAACACCAATCATTTTTACATTTTCTTCAAAATTACGTTCGATTAATTTCTTTTATTTAACACTTTATATGCCACATTTAGGAGGGTAATTCCTCTGTAGTTGTTACATTTTGTTTGATCTCCCTTCTTACATATAGGCACGATTATGCCTATGTTCCAGCCTTTCGAGAGTTTTACATTTCTATATTTCTTTACTTCAGATTAAAACCGAACACCCAAAGCTACATGAACGGTACTTTAGCACACCTGTCGACGAAAAATTAATCAAAAGAAACATGAATTTAAATAAACAAAGCGTGTATCAAGTAGATTATTGTGATATGGGTATATTATTTTGATTTATTTTGTATTTGTTAATTTTCTTGATTATTTTTTGATAAAGAGAAATGTTGGGAAGAAGCTCGCCAGGCGGATTTAGCACATCAAGTCCACCTTCCTGATGATTTGTTCATTCCACTTACTACATCTGCGTTCGTTTATCGAAATCCTACTGATTTGCAAAAAGATGTTTTGAAATCACGATTTAAAATCGAAAAGCCTCAATCTAAGATTGGAATGTCCAGTAAGAAAAGAATTCTTAACGTTAACTTTAAATGTTTGAAATCAATTTGATTTTATTTTAGGAGAAATACAAAAGATTCTAAAAATCACAACTGGAGAAACCGAATACGATGGCGTTATTGGTGAACTTGGCCAAATTATTATTGATGATGAAATGCACGGAAAAATGATCCATCCACCTTGTGGTTGTGCTCAACATCCCATTGTTCCTGAAGAAGAGAAGAAATAAAACACCATACTTAAATTAATAAATTATCTATTTCAAAGTCTATTTATAATTTTTTCTTTTTAATTATGAAGAAATTTTATAAACAAGGATCTCCAGTTCGCCGTCTAGAAGATGGTAAAGGTTCCTTATACTGTTGTCGACTCTTAATAATCGATAATCCCATTTTGCTAATTGAATCTTGATACTCAGACCTTCCGGTTGTTGGTTTGAAATACGCATCCAAATTAGCAGGAGCTAAAAATTTGTTTATATTTAAATTCGAATTTATATATTTAAAAATGAAAAAAATTAAATACATACAAGTTGCAAATGTTACTGTTGGACATGGATCTATAGTTGGTCTGTTAAATGCTGTGTATCTAAAACTAGTTGGATCTCGGTAACCATCTCCAATACCAATCGATTGACTTTTTACTGGTACTCCAACTGGAGAATCAACAGCCGGCATCAATTTCGTGTATTGAGCAACGTTTAGTCCTCTTTTAATGTAATCAATTTGATAAGTACTGTTTAAAATGTCATCAACATCGCAAGAATTATCTATCATTTCACTACTTAATGTAATCATCTAGAAAAGATCAAGTCAAAAAGTTAATCTTGTAATTTAATTTATTACATGATGTTGGATTGCATCAAAATTGTAAAAAAATAAGTCGAATACAAGGGACATTCCCGTTTTACATTTAGTATCATCACTGGAACTTCGTGCAAAATGTAAGAAGTATTCCATCTGAGTGATTGGTTAGAGATTATTGCAAGATACAATATATACAGGGTCCTGCAACACTGCGTCAAGCATCCATAGATCCTATATAAATTAAGTTAGGAATTTCTTTCAAACGCAGACTCTGTATATTCTGACTCAGTCAACAACACAATCTATCTAACCATTTAACACTTACGATTTTAGTAGATATACTAAAAACTGAGTGAGAAATCCAGTTAATAACCACAAACCGTGTGCTGAATTTCTCACTGCATTTTTTAGTTTAAATATATTGAAAAGTAAAAAATATATTGAACCTGCTCATTAACTCCACTTAGTTCTTCATGTAAAATTTTTTCTTTTTCTGCTAATTTTTCGTACCTCTTCATATGGGTGTCGTAGGTATGATTCCCACAGCCGCACATTGATTCCACGGGGCCGGTTAAGAAAAAATTTAATTGCTTGGTTTTCATCGGCGGCTGGGCGGGTCTTTACAAAAATAACGTTTAACATTATTATTTAGCAATGTTTCAAATCAAATGCGTCGATTTTACTGCATAAAATCGATTTTAAACTCCAAAGGAAAAGTTAAAATATTTATGATTTAGTAGGAAATAACACGTAATTCACTACATTGATTTTGTTTTAATGTATAATTGTACTTACTTTTGCATGATTGGTTTGTCGGATGGCCATTTGAAATCCTTTTTGTGGTTCGTTAAGAAACTATCCCCCATTTTTATTTCTTTCTTTTTGATTTAATTAGAAGAAAAAAAAAATAAACTTGATAACAATAAATTTGGTTACTTCTCTGAATTTGATTACTTATCTTCACAACTTAATTTTTATTTAAAACTTTCCACCCCGTAGACTTCCCCAATCGAATTAAGTAACGCAACACGACCCTACAAACATGATACAAGATAAAATTTTGAACGACACGCGTCAAAATCTCGAGGTACTCCATGATGACTTTGATTGAATTGATATTAAAAATAATTAATAATAATATCAACCAAGCCTACTGGAAAAATGAAATAAATTAATACGAAATTTGTTTAATATTTTAAATTCATCGAGACATTGACTTCGTCAAGTCATTTTCAAAATTCAGTTTGCAATGAATTTTTTTTAAGGGACATCGCCAAATTCATTAAGTTTAATTGAAAATCGTTTCTTTTTCATTTCGCATTTGAATCTATCCTTAAAAGAAATTCAAAATGGAATTCGTCACAACGTATCGACGAGATTTTTTATGGCCCTATGTTATTGTTTTGGGAAATAAGTAACGTTATGCAATTACAATGCAATGTTTTATTAATCATATTTTATTTTGAAGACCACATCCCGATAATTATCCAGCCACGAGCACAGGATGGCGAGATTCAGGAATGTGTCCCTGCACCTGTTTAAAACACAACCAACAACATTCCGGACATGGTCAGGTTATTGGTCCGGAATCGGCTAATAAAGATGGTTGGATTAAAAAAGCACCGGTTGGGCCTTTATTAGATCCAAAATTGTATCCTGCACAAGTTGGAAGATCTCCGGAAGTTGATACAATGAAATTTAATCAACCAAACACATTTTTAAAGAAGGTATAATTTTTTAAAATTCAAAATTATTTTACAATCGATTCGATTAAAAGCGTTGTACTCATCTTTAGTAGGTGTTTTCCTTCTTTCCAATCTAATCTCGTAATCTCGATTCAACGTTATATCATCAATAGTACTGTAGTTATAAGATACCTTCATCAAAATGCGGTTGTTGACACGAAAAGTTTTATGATAATTTAAGAGAAACAAGTAAAAAGTAGAAAACAGAAATTACGATGCTACATGAATCCATCAAAATAAACTTAGATGTAGGGAAGTTAACAGAAGATGAAATTCTTCTGAAAATGCGAAACAACTATCACAGTTAGAAGGAGAAGCTTTCTATATTAATGAGGTTGGGGATTAACTAAAATAATGACTTAAAAGTCAGAATCAAAACAATAGTTCCAACCAAATGCGCAGGCATTAAGAAGGGTCGTTGGACTTAGCACATAGAAATATTAGAAATAATCTAATATTAGAAAATATTAGAGAAGTCAGAAAAAGGAAAAAAATTTAGGATAAAGAGGAAGAATCAAAAGAGCAAGAAATAATGATATAATATAAGGAGCCAAAAATAAAAGAGGGAAGAGCCCAGAAACGAGGGGGGAATTCAGAAATAAAAAAAAACTAGAAATAAGATGGATTGCCTGCTTTTATAGATTTGTATTTGCTTGAAGTTAAACTTTATATGTCTAAGTAGTTATCAGCGCCTCAGAGGTAAGGTGTGTTAAGTCACATTTTTTGCGAAATGAGTTATCTTCACCCTGTATATTTGTTTAAACATTAAGTCTACTTTCAAATCTCTCACCTTAACAATTTCAAGTTTGTGAGTTAACTATACCTTACCTCTGAGGAGCTGTTATAGTTTCCATGGTTGGATTATTCTGTGGTGAGAAGAAAATATGTTTAGAAGTAAATCTAAATCCCTGAAGATGTCAGAAAAGTCAGAAAAGAGTGAAAGAAGAATCTAGAACAAAGGAAAAAGCAAGAATTTGATGATAGTAAAGAAGTAAAAATCATAAAAGGTGCTACAGATACATAGAATAAGAATGAGAAATGTTGAGAATGTTGCACGAACGAATCTAAAACGAGGAAGACGCCAAAAAGCAACGATGTAAAAATCATCGAAATGAGTTTATGATAAACTAATTAAACGTTATATAACGTCATTAAGTAGTATTAACTAGCACGCGATACATTCAAGAGATTGGAAACTCATAAATTCTGGAGCGCGTATCATCAAACAGTGATGAAACTAAGAAGCCTTCGAAGAAAACAGCTCAAATGAAGTTTTACACATTAAAATTTAACCACATAATGTTACTCAGCGTTTCGTTAAGGCAAAAATAGAAGTAGTTCAGGTATAAATGACGGCGTTGTAAATTGTGAAACTGAAAAGTTTGAAGTTGAGTTTAAAGTGTGAGGTTGGTATTAGTTTATCTACGATTACACAAATTAAAAATCATAGACAAGAATCTCGTTGAGGTTTAAAATGAGCGAAGAAATGAAATTGGCTTCCAGTAAAAAGTTTCCATTAGCTGTATTCGGCCATACCATTGAAGTGAAAATTGCTGTTATACTTCTCAAACAGACTTAGGACGTTATAAGCTGTTGCTTTACAAGCAAGATTACTTTCTGCAGTTGTTTACTAGAAATCGGTTTATGTAACGAAACAATTTTTCATTAGCAGATGAGAAAGAAGTTAGTTTGCGAGCAGCTGTGAGATGTTTATTTGTCTTTGGAAGACAATGCTATCAAGGGTGTATAACAATGTGAGGTATAATATCGTTTATTGTTACTTCTGTATACAATTTTTAAAATAAAACGGCTATAATACTTATTATACAACCTCACATTAATGCTCCCTCCTTCTCTTCTCCTTCATCACCTCCACCATCCACTCCCATTCCATACCTTTCTCTGATCATCCTGTCCCCTAATCATCCCCACACAACCTTTCCTCATCCCCCATCCTATATTTATTCGCCCTCTCTTCATTCCAGCACCTAAATCCTGGTGGAAATCTTGGTATTTAATGGAGGACATCAAAGACCTCAGAATTTCCTCCGTTATAATGACCTTATACTTATCATTGAGTCTCCTCTCTTCCACTTGAGACACATCTCTATCTCTACTCTCCAACTCTTCCTCTCCTTCCTTCCTCCTTTATATTTATTGAGTACCAGACTCTGGTATAATAGGTTCGCAATAGTTTACTTATGTTTCTGTGTTTTTGACTATTTACTTTTTCTTAGGTATTTGGCATAAAATTTGGAAAGTTTTATAAATTACAACTATCCTGAAATTTCTCGTATCTTAATAGAAGCACCAGCTGGTCTTTTATCAATACGGATTGGCTTGTCTCTATTTTGGCTCTATAAAATTGCTGGCTTTTACCACTCCTAAACTAGATCCTAAGATTTACGCTTGAAATTTAGGTTTATAGGTTTTCACTTTGTTGGCTAAGAAGGAAATTTACTTTTAACTCTATATTTTTTCTCTCTCTTCCTTCATTTTGCTTGAGTGAGCAATTTGTGCAAATCACTTAACATTATTGAAGAAGATCCATTTCTATTAGAAGTTCTTTAAGACCATGGCACAATACAAGATTGTCATACCGAGATAAGAAAGAAAGAAAATCCTTTTGCCTAAAAGTAATTTTTGTTTTACTATCAAGAACATCTTTGTCATTGCTTTGGTTTTCTTCTTGACAGATATGATAATATATCGTATAGGTAATGTTTATGATGGCGGTTCAGGTGTGAGTCTCACTTTTTAGCCAAATATCTAAAAGATAATACATAAATAAATAAATTTGTATTCTTTAATAACTTTTTTTATTATTTAGCTTCAAGATAAATATCCATACATTTATGAAATTTTAAGAGCAGCACCACCTGATGATATGATATCAAGAATTAATCGTGATCGACTTAGATCAACTTATCAAGTCGATTTTTGCCATATGAGTAAGATCTTTTCTTCCCTTTTTATTTTTTCATAAATAATTTATGTAATAATTTTAGATGAATATCCATCTGGTCCATATGATGAACTTCTCCGTGCTGCCGGCGTGGCTGGGTTATCACCATGTCCAGAACCCGTTAAACTCCCAGGAGATCCTTGTAGACCGAATCAAAGAGCGGTTGCGTTTAGACCGGCTACGATTAGTAAAGATGGAAAAGTGAGAGGTTCGCGAGGCGGCGGCGGCGGCGGTGGTGGTAGTGGCGGTGGAGGCGGCGGTGGTGGTGGTGGAGGCGGTGGCGGCGGAGGCGGAGGAGAAGGTTTCGGTAAGATTAATAATTCTTTTATAAAAAAAATATTTTGATACAATGGGATGGATTATTTTGATTTTGTTATTGTAGTTTGTGCTGCTCATGCAAATGAACCGGGTGTTTCTGAGTATCAAGATGAAATTTCGAAATTGGGCGATTTAATTGTACGTGAAAAAATTCATAATCGACCGAGACCAAAGTGTAAATCCTCCGGATTTTCGGGCTAAATCATCACATTATGTTTCCATTTTCATTATAATCTTTCATTGCTCGATATTTTAAGTTAAATATGTATCAATTATTTTTAAAATTCCGAATCTAATAATAAATTTTTTTGTCGCATTCATTTCAAAATCAGTCTTTAATTTGCGTTTTTTCTTTTCTTTATTAATCAGGAGCCGAACAATTGTTTAAGTGGAGTCCTTACCGTAAAGACGCCATAAAAAACAATAAGAGACTCGACGAGTGGGGTCAAATGATTTATAGGGACCGACAACATGCGCATGGATGGCGAAGTGAAATAAGACAGAGTAAGAAATGATAAAGGAAAAACGATATAAAATAATAAAAAAAGGGTAAAATATTAAAACAGGAAGAAAATGATGTTATAAGTTTTTTTTGGTAATAAATCATTGCAAACTAAAATATTCTTTTTATTATCACGATTAAAAAAAAAAATAACGTAAATAAAGTTTTAAATATACCCTTTATTTCAATTTCCTATTCAAGGTCTACATAAAGAGTCTAAATTTATACTCGAACTCCAAAAAGATAAACCGTACTATATTAAGACTTTACACACACCCACCGACAAAAAGAAAGAAATAAAGAATTTGAGAAAAATGACGTTCTGGTAATCTTTGTGTATTGTATTCATTATTGTTTCCAATTTTTGGTGGAAACACGATAAATCTTCGGCCACGTGTTGAGTTTTGATTTCGTAACAGGACGGAGAACGCTTATTAATAATCGCCAATTTGTTATTTCGTTGCTATTTTTAAACACCGATTCGATTGAATTCGGATCTGGCCGTGGTATTTTTGGAAACTCCTGCCACAATATCGTTGTACCAAGTTTAGATCTCTTCATCATCATGACGTTATGAAATTAAAATTAAAATTAAAAGAAAATAATTTTAACAAAATAGAAATGAATTGTTCCAAAAGTTTCTTATTTTAAGAGGATTTTAAAGAGTAAACATCTTACTTTCAAAAGCTTTCACGCTTACAAAAAGTAGATTAAACTAAAACTAGAACTAACACTATCAGTAGAGATCTTGGTTCGTGCGGTTCTGGATATACAGGGTGAATTATTAGTATCATTTGAGATAGAAAAAAATGTTCTAAACAAAAGCTGTTTAGCTCACCACTTTCTATAACGTAATAGATATTACAAGTGGGCTAGAAACATAATTACTGTACGAGTGTGGAGAATTACACGAGGTCGTAGACCGAGTCGTGTAATCACACGAGTACTGTAATTATGCTTTAGCCCACGTGTGATATACAACATTTTATCTACGACTGCTAAAAATTACTTAAAAATCAATTTCTTTAAAAAGGTCTATTTTGACATTTATAAAAATATTTTGAAATGGTTGTTAACAATTTTGAATTAATGTCAGTTTCAATAACATGTTTACTCATCTGGAATAAGTGTTTCGAAATGTAAAAAGATAACAATTAATGTTTATAATAAATAGTAGTGTTTCTCTTTAAATAGGAAGCACTTTTTCTTTTGTATTGTTGCTTGTTTCAATAAATTAAATCTGTTCTGATTGAATGAACTGAAAATGCGTTACGTAATGAAACTAGTGCGGTAATGAATTTCATTACGTAACTCAAATCACCTCAAATGAGTGTGGTAATGATGACTTATCCAAGTAGTCGTAGATAAAATTATTTTACTTTATACATGGTTCTTTTTAAAAACGATACAAAAATGATATTTTTGCCTATTTTGTCTTTAAACTATGTCAGCTAATAGTTAAAGCCATTAGGTAGATGATAGTATTCAAAGATTTCAGATACACTATACAGCGTATTTATAAAATATTGGAATTTTTGATATTTTTGAAATGGCCTTTCATAAGTTTTTAAATGAAACAACCTGTATAGTATGTGATGGTAGAATTGTCCATCAAGTTCCCTTTAATTAATGTTAAGTATGTCATATGTCTAACGTTAGTAGTTTTCCTGCTATTTAGAATTTAAAGAAACATGTGTAATAAAATATACCATTATTGTACTTAATATTATATTGTGTCTCTTTTTGTCAGCTTTTTGTTTTTTCTTTTTTATTGGAAGTGTATTCATAGTATGGTAAATAATAAATTAAAATTATAATAATATAGAATATGTATATAGGACTTCCGGTGCGACCTCGGCTGTTATCTTGAGAACTTGTGTGACTCCTAGTTCTAGATCTTGTATTAGTTGTAGTGATAGTGCTAGTGTTAGTTCTAGTTTTAGTTTAATTAACACCAAACGTAAAACCCTTCGTACTTATAAAAACTAGATCATTTAGAACAGCGATTCCCATTTACATTTAACAATGGACCCCCTAAAATCTAAACCATTCTAACTAAAACTCCTGGGCAAATTAATAAAACATCGTCTTATACATAAAGGATATATATATTTTGTTTTATATTTTAACTATTATCACAAGGTACAAAAATAAATAAATTTGGAGCGATCGTTGAACTCGCATTTCTTTTACAAGTTTCTCAACGTTTGATTGTATATTTTTCGACAGACGCGTAATTCGGCATCAAAATTAATTAATCTGTTTCGTGATTTCGAAAAATATTGTTTACAAAGATATGTGGTTAAAAAGGGTATTAAAATTTGCAAAGCTTTGTTTCCTAAATTCGGCGATTCATTGAAAACGTACGCCCAGAAATCAGACAGGTTTTTTTTCTTTGAAAGCCATTTGAAGCTCTCCATTGGTAATTAAGTTAATAAAATCTTCCTTGACCTCCATATCCATATAATGTTTGATAATAAACGGATTGCGAATCCATGCCTTACTTCTGCCAGGAAGTGGAAAATATTCTCTGAACCTGCTTTTTAGATTTGCCAAATGACACATGATTAGTTGTGCTTCCTCATTTGGAAGTGTATCTTCAGACATGTTTAAACATGTCGACAAGTTTTGAAATGATTCCACATTTCCGCTTTTGAGTCGATTCTCCCATAATTCTAAAAACAATTTATATTTACTCGTTGTAATTTTACATTCAAATCATTGAGGTGACTAAAGATGTCGGAGAAGTACGATAGTTTGATAAGAAATGTAGAATTTTTTAAATTTTCCTGGGGAATCATCAGAGCGAAGGAATTGGAAACGTTGTTCTTCTATTAAGAATACATTGACATTGTTATGTAATTCCCAAAGTCGACCCAGTGCTTTTCCCTTCGAAAGCCACCTTACATTTGTATGCATTAGCAGTGAAAAAAGCCGCATATTCAGCGCTCTACTTATAATAAAATTTATTATTCTTATACACTCATATAAGACCGCTTTTAATTCTGCAGGAATTCTTTTTGTAACGAACGCTTCTTGATGTATCACTCTGCAGATGAAGATACTTGCTTTATTCTCGCCCTCAGACCTGTTATTCTTGCGGACATAGCTTTGACACCGTCTGTGCTTACACCAACACATTTCGCCCAATCGATTTTATTTTTCGAGAACGGCATCTTCATGCTTGTATCTCACATAGCACAGTAAAACTGCCAGACTAGTTACGTCCCTTGTTTCATCCAACTGTATAACAAACCAAGGTGATACACGAACTCTTTGTATTAATTGATCTTTTATGTTTTCTGTCATACTTTGAATTCTACTTTGCACTGTATTGTTTGACAACGGAATTTGTGTAATTTCTTTGGCAGCTTTATCGCCAATTATTGCAGACTCCATAATTTTTGCTGCTGGTAATATGAGATCTTCAGCAATAGTATGAGGTGTACCTTTTTGAGTTATTAGTTGACATACCTTAAAGGAGGCCATTATGGCTGAATTGTTTGATGCTGGTATGGTAACGTAGGACACGCTTCTTTGCACGTTCTTTAATTGTTGTTCCTTCTTTTTAAAAGAATCCGTGTTTTTTGCTGAAACTTTGGGTGCTTTTTTTCAAAATGGTGTCTTAACTTAGCTGGTTTCATAGAATCAAAGGATAAATATTCTGCGCTGTATTGACGGGCCTTCTTCTTGACAGGAAGTTTTAGAAAGGAAGTTGCAAACAATATTGGATCTAAAAAGAACGCATTCTTTTATTTCGAGTTAAAACTGATTGTTCTACATGAAATTTGAGTAACGTTATCTGTTGTTTCATTACCCTGTATAATAAAAAAGTAAAAATTGTATTTGCCGTTGTAACATCTACTCATCAAATATTGCTTGAAAAAATGTCAATATTGAGTTTGGTTACTTAATTAAGCTAAGAAACAAAATAGGAAACTTAAAAAATCCCCCAAATGAGTAATATTACCAACCGCCATACCCAAAATGTCCTAGAAAACGTTACATATTTCTTCTGACATGAGAGTAATATTAATCTTTAATATAATTTATGTATGCAATTAGTTAATTTCTTTTTGTAATTTATTTGCCTCCATTATTTTTCACAAAAACGCCTTGGACCCCAGTATTGTGGCAATGGACCCCTAGGGGTCCAGGCACCCCTTATTGGGAATCGCTGATTTAGAATATTTAGAATTTTTTATTTTCTCAAACAATACAATGAACTTCTACATCTATTTAAACTTAAAATATTTAGATATCGCCGTACTACAGTAGTAATTTAAAAGACTCGAAACGTATAAACAACGACGGTAATCCAGCGTAAATCTATTCACGACTACATTAATCAGTGGCGTCGCGACGTTTTATTACACGGGTAGATTTTTAAATTTTACTCGTATATTTTATTGTTCTAAAAAGTCCCCAAAAAACAATACGAGTTTATTATAAATCCTTGTTTGCCTCCTAATATTTTTAGAAATAGTATTCAAGTAAATAGAATTGCTATTGTGTTCCATTTAAAATGCCAACGCGACGTTCGTCGATCGGAAACCAATTTGGACGAGTAAATGCCAATTTCAAAAATAAATCTCATCCACCACGTGCTAACTTGTGACGCCACATTAAATTGGGATCGTCACGTTTCCGTGCGGTCAGCAAAGTCGTCATCTTATTTTCATTGGCATCAGTTTCAACAAACTTAACCAGAAGTTTTAGCCAAAAGATACACACTCGTATTGTTTTCAACTACTTAGATATAAGTTTCTTTTTAGATGATTCAATATTCTAAAAATGAATCGAAATTATTTTTTGTGT